ACTTTATCTGCAGATGAAAATCAGATTACAGAGTGGGAGACAGAAAGGAAGACGAGTGGGAGACATAAAGGAAGTCCTACAAGGAGATGCGGTAGGAACACCGTATAAATATATCAGCGACGAGGAGGCTAATTTAACTGTTTAACCGGAGAGATACCTTGGTGACCACCCCGGCTCCTGTACCCAACCAGCATCGGTTTGCGCTGCCTCCGCACTACAGCCTTTGTGCCGCCCATCCCATGCACTTTACAGTATGCACAAGGCCGCTTCGAGGATCGCGTCCCGTTTCCTAGGCCAGCAAGACCGTCGCTTTTGTCGGTTCCTTGTTTTGGTAGTTGGGGTGTCATGTTCTGCGGTTTCACTGTTGAATTTGGACGCGTAGCAGGCGGAAGAGGGAAATCGAGGGAAGGTGCGCAACTGTAATTGATTTGTGTGCTACCTGTAAGAAAAAGGTCAGTTGTTCCGCGAGTGGCTATAAAATGTGGAATGTACCAATGGACCCCTCTGCACAGAAGAGAATCTGTACCGGAACTCAGTAAGAGGTCAGAACACAAAGGACATACCAGTTATGCATTTGTTTCCACCTGGAGCTGGAGTACTTTACTTAGATAAATTACTCTTAGGGAGGTGTAAAATATACCGTGAGATACAAGTCGTTGCTGTTCAAAACTACTTCAAATACTCAAACCTTCCACGGGCTCAGTTTTCTGCAGAAATCACTGGCTGTAGTTTGTGCAGAATTTTTCAAACATACCCTCCTATTTCCGTTGAGTTTAGAGCCACTTCCTGAAATGTATATCAGTGACTGAAGGCCTAAACTGAGGCCCAGACTTAAAAGTGGAGCCATGAAAGCAAACGACCCACAAATCATCAGTAATTTTGTAGCAAGGACTGCACATACATGTATGTATGGCCGGCCTGCCGTAGATCTGGTATTCTGCAAGCGTGCAAGCACATATGTCACCAGGCCGCAAGGCACCAATTTTGAATGTCCCCTTGCGATTTCCTCCATCCTTTTTTGAAGGACCAACAAGGCGCATCACTTCGGTTTAAATGTGAACCGGAGCTCACGGCTGAATGGCGATAAGTTCTCATTGGCGAAGGGTAGAATTCCCGTGTCGCGAGGTTATCTGAATGAGAAGTGATGAATGCTGATTGTATGGGAGCGGCTGTCAAGCGTCCCGCAGTGATTCCGTGATGGCAGAGACTGAGGAGAGAGGAGCCGGTCGTGCGGATCAGCTCAAATTAATACTATCTGCAGACCGGAGATGGCTGGGTTTAAAGGCTTCAGGCAGACACACACGTAATTTTATAAAGAGGGCAACAGAATACAACGCTGCTCGCAATTGAGTTGTTCTCAGAGCTGTCTGCTCGTGGATTCATCTAGAAAAAAATCCCGTCCCTCGTAGTCCGTGGGGGCTCAAGCCTTGCATTATACCTTGCATTCTACATGTCGCATTCATGCGAGGTTACATAATCACACCCAAGCCCTGGCACAAAAAGTCGCCGTTGATTAACCGCAAAGATCTAGAAGTGTGAAAAACAGCCCCTCCCCTCCACCTTTGTGGCGTAACTATTGCTCACCCACCAACTTACTTACCTCACAGGGTGGACATTCAAATGGGTCAGAAACACACGCCAATCATGAATCAGAGATCGCCGCACGGCCGGCATACCCAAAACTAAGCTGTCCAGAGCCTGTTGCCATAGACTCCCATGACCCGGCATTTGGCCACCTCAAAATTTCGCCTGGTATCCAGTACGTTGAAATGCGTTTCAAGTTGAGACGTTTAACGGAGGCCAACTCTCATCCCACTGTCAGTCCTCCGGTGCTGTTGGGAATCCGGAAGTGATGCCGACAGATGCCGACATCTCATACCGTAACATCCTCCGGAGTTATTGGGAATCCGGAGGTGATGCCGACAGATGCCGACATTTATCAGTGGCGACCCCGCATGGCCTCGCTTGACTCTTAGCTTGGTGCGGTCGTATACTCTGTCCGATGTTGAGAGTGGGGCTGTACAAGCCTAGAGCTGTTGATGTGCTTATTGAAATAACGGTTTCAGCTCCATTACTCCAGAAGACCCTCGCAAACGCCCAGGGGATTCGTTCGCCAATTACCACATAGTTACACGATATCTCAGTACGAACCAATATATCTAAGTGGAGAAAATATAGCCAAAAGGAAGAGAAAGTAAGAAACAAGGGGGGAAATGCGATACTGTACACGCTAAATTAAGGTAACGCGCGGGAGCAAAGAAAATGTTGCCTGTCAGGCAGCGGCGCTGGCGATAGCAGAATGACTTAACACGCACATGCGCCCTGAGACCCTTTGAAATAAAAGGACGCATCTGCTGCAGCGAGTTATCCAACAACAGACCCACCTTGCCCGAGATACCTCCTCGCTCATCTCAACAACTTGAACAAAGATGTGCCCGAGCACCCAACAGACTCACTGCGCAGCGGGAGCCCCCGTCGCATTTGGTCATTGTGCACCTTATGTCCTGCCCGCTCCTCATGCTCCGGCTGTCGTTCCCGGCTGGCAGACCGCTCGCGCCTTCCCAGCTTTGGCAGCCGGGAAAGGTCCCTTCACCGACTACCCTCCCCAGCACGCGACCCACGCTGACGAGGCGCTTGTTCACACCTATGCCTCCTTCCGGGAAGCTGTCGCGCTGCCTGCCAACACCCGCGGCGACGACTCGTGGACCCTCTGCATCCCTGTTCCCGTCCCCAAAATGCGCAACCCGACCCTGCTGGCGGTCGACTACCTGATCCAGTACGCTACGACCGCAGACTACGGCAACGCGACGGTCCAGACCGACGTCGTGCTCACTGCCGCGGCGCTCCCCATGGGTGTCGTCTCTGCCGGCACCGGGCTCGCGGTCTATCGTCCTAGCATGGGAACGCCCCGCATGGTTGATCAGGATTCCGCCCTTCCCCTGGCCAACACGCTCGCCGTTAAATGCAACACCGGCGGCGAGCAGTGGAGCCACTACGTCGACACCCAGCACGTCGCATCGAATGTGCGGATCCGTGAGGCTGCACAGCTCTATGTGGTGTTCAATGTCGAGGAGCGCTCCACCTTCCGTACCGCACGCAGCCTTTCCGTTGAAGTGTCCGCGACCTGGCAGAAGGAAGAGGTAGAGCTGAAGGTGCTCGCCGAGGAGGAACGCAAGGCGAAAGAGGCGGCGGAAAAGGAGGCGAAGGAGGCGGCGGAGAAGAAGGCGAAGGAGGCGGATGAACAGAAGGCGCGGGATGAGGCGCGCGCATGGATGGAGGGAGAACGCCGGGCAAGGCAGGAGGAAGAACGTGAGAGATCAGTGGCAAAGGCGGCGAGAGAGGAAGAGAAGCAAGCGAGGAAAGAAGCACAGGAATGGAGACAAGAAGAGCGGGTGCACTGGGTGGAGGAGCGCGAAGCAAGGGAAGCAAACGCGGCAGCGATGGCCGCAGCCATAGCCGAGGTCGCTAACCTGTCCGTGAACGTTCACCAGTCCATCGACGCCGCGCCTGCCATTGCGGACCAAAAGACGCAGAAATCCATTGAAAAGACGATGGAGAGACTCGGATTGGAGGCCTGCCCCTCGGGGTTCCCGTTCGTAAAGAGAGAGGACGGATATCGGTGCAATGGTGGAACCGTAGGTGGAACCGGAAAACACTTCATTAGCTTCAAGGACCTTGGCTTGAAGTAAACTCTTCAGGCGTCAGCGTCCCAACAATTGTAGTCTGTATGAAACGCGCTCTGCTTCGTCTCATTCATAGTTCGATTACCTGCTTGTACTTCACCTGCAATCTTGTATAATCTCTTGACCGCATTCTGGGTTGAGTGACCTGTTCGAGAGTCTGGCATATTTGGAGTATGCACTGAGCACCCTCCGAATTTCCCTACCTTTCGTCATCGGACTCACCATATCATAATATTTTCACCGCATTCTGTGCGCAGATTGTCACTAGGCCACCCTAGAGAGACGGATCCACTTGCCAGGAGTTCGCAAATTACTACTGTGCGAAAATTATCAGTTTTAGCGGTGAAGGTTACAATGTCGGTGCATGACGGGCACGGGGTCTGCTGCTGCAGGCTTTACCATCGAATTCAATATGCCGCAGATGCACTCGACACTGTGCTACCAGGTCTTTACCTCACCCCTTCAAAACCTCAATAAATACCACTCGCCTCAAAAGCGTTAAAACGGGGAAATAATATTGCACCAGTAATGTTTTAATTATTTCGGTCGTCTTGATTCCATTCTGGATGAGTATGAGCAGGCTGGATTTGTGAAGCTAATATGTAGAATGTAGAAGTGGAAGGAGAAAGATCGAAAAGAAGCACAAAAGAAAAAGAGGAAAAGTACACAACGTACACGACGTGACCTCGAGTCGAACAGGGGGCTTCTGCCTAACGACATATGTCCGAGTGGGCGAATTCAGCAGATGCACACCGCGTACTATCAGGTCTCTTGCTTACCATGATATCCTCAAATAGCTGAGTGAGTTTGAGAGGAATCCTTGCGCAAAGGTTCATGCGTTGTTTGAGGAGATTTGATTGGTTGGTGGGACAACGAATGGTGGAAGGTTAATCAAATCTGGGAGGGAAGGGGAGAGAACTGAGTGGTGAGAAAAAAAGAAGAAAAAAAAGTCACAAGATCAGGAAGTGCGACGTATGACCCGACCCCGAGTCGAACTGGGTCTTCTGCTTACTGGGGAAGAGGCATAAAACATCGCTCAGACTTAGCAGGCGCACGCCGCGTGCTATCGGGTCTCTTGCTTAGTACTGTTGTAGCGTTCTTTGAATGGGGTGCGATTTAGATTCGATTGAGGTGTCCACATGAGAACTGAAATAAAGGGGGAACTTCTACGGCAATGGTTAAAATGTTTCTATTGGACCATACCAAAAATCTAATTTGGAGGCGGTGGGGCTGTTTAGTATGCCACAAAAGAAAAAGAAAACACGGCCAAAATGGGAGAGTCGTAACAGGTACCAAAAAACCGTGCCGTGCACACCATGACCTGACCCCGAATCGAACGAGGGTCTTCTGCTGAGCGTTTCAAAGTGAGAGTGAATATATTGCAGATGCATTCGACACTGTGCTACCAGGTCTTTTCTACTCCCTTTAAAACTTGAATAAACCCCACTCATGCATGCCACGTGCTATTGAGTTTTTGCCTCCCTCGTTAAATACTGGGGAAAGGCGTTAAGTTTGATTTTTTTGCACGTCTTGTGGAAATTTCGTTCTCGCCGAGTCTAGATCATGGATGGGGAACTGATCTGGGTTCTGAAATACAACGACCTCAAATCCCCAAAGACCAAAAAGAGGACGGGGAGCCGTTCGAGACACGAAAGAGATCAAACAAAAAAAAGGAACCACGGTTTTGGGTAATGACCCGGCTCCGAGTCGAACGGGAGGTTTCTGCTTGCATGTCATATCTTCCAGCAGAGACTTGGCAGATGCACGCCGCGTGCCATCGGGTCTCTTTCTCACCATCCTAAACTCATATAACTGAGGGGGCCGGGAAACGTCCTTCAAGACTTTTTCAAGTAAGGTTTCGCCGGGTCAACGGGAAAAAAACTTTGAGTCGCGAGGTAAATGACAGTTAGAAAATGGATCAGGGAAATTGAGAGAAAAAGGCACCTTTCATATTGCCATCAGTGAACCGACCCTGAGTCGAACGAGGGCTGTCCGCCTGATCGCACAACTTTCAGCAGGTGCAGCGGATGCACGCCGCGTGCTATCGGGTCGTTGCCTAGTACCCTTTTGGCCCTCGCTAAATGAGTGCGTTGTTATTCCGGAGAATAGCGGTAAGGGTTGATCTTTTGCATGTCTTGTGGAAATTACATTTAACCAAACCTAGATGCATGTATCATGATTGTAAAAAAGATACATTGCTCGAGCCCCCCATATACACCCCCGTTCGTGAGGAATGTTTGTGACAGATATGTGCTGAAATGTTTGTAAACAGTTACCTCAATGTTCGCCCAATGTTGCCGAAACATCACTCAAACAAAAATCGTCAAATCCCACAATGCTTTCTCAACGTCACCTTTCGGCGATGTTTTGGTCAACGTTTCCGAGACGTTTCTTCAGGGTTTTATTTATTTCTCCTAAATAATACTAATATTTTCCTGGTTTTTACATTCATTCGGTGGTTGTTTGAACAGATTGCATTCACAAATTAACTATCTATGTCACATACCACTACCCAACGGTACAGAAACCCTCCAGCAAACCAGCGCGGGCCGCCAGCCATGCACATTGAATGCAGGAATGCAGCTGGGGAGAGTGGTGCCGGAGGGGAACCCTGCACGCGATACGAGCTCATCGACGGTGAGCTGCTGGCCGGGTTTCGTGCGCGCGATGCTCAGCACAAGATGCCCCAGACAGAACAACGTCGACACCCGCGAAGCCCTGTATCGTCCATGGGGATGAAAGTGGGCGTGAGGCCAGGGAGGCCAGGAGAAGACTCATGCTGGGTCAGGAGGATGTGAGTATGCGATATGCAGGTGAAATGGGCAAGCCGATGACTAACCGGAGAGTTGAGAGACAGGGCCTTTGACCCTTGCGCCCCAGGATGGAAGGAATATACCTAAAGTTTCAGTCTCGTCAGGGCTGGTGCATCGTACATAAAATTTAACAAAACAGTCCCAATCACGCGTTCTTCTACATCGTGGTTCTCTTGAGGAAGGGACTTGCGAGCCTGGTATGTCTTTGCAGTTTGAGACGGAGCCAATTTTGAGCTTTGGAGATCTTTCAGTCAGGGCATGAGCTGACTTGAGACTGCTTGAGCGGCGGAGCTTGGCATAATGCGAAGAGACGATCTTGAGGATATTGACGGGTCAATGGAGCGGACAAGGCATGAAATGGCTTGACATGTTTGACAGGTTATGGACTTGGGCCAGCTTGAGGAAGAAATGGGGCAGCAGTTTGAGCTGGTGAGCGTGGATGAAGTGGTGGTGGGAGGATCTAAAGACCGACCAACATTGTTCTTGTTTGTTCTGATGCCAAGTCTGATGGCCGCACGGGCCTTTGCCTCCAACAAATATTATTTCCACTCACGCTTAACCCACTGGTTTGCCCCCAGGTGCATGCTCCTTAACTCTTTCCCAGGACCCTGGGAGACTGACTCAGTGCAGCCCCAAATGTGGCTGACACACGCATGAAATCCCCAAGTATTGCTGCGAGCAGTTTAGCGCCTTTAATTAATTTATATGAATAGCGATCAAAGCAGACATCGCATTGCACTTCCCGAGTTAACTTGTTGATCTGCAAGGAGTACGTGGCTTTATTACCCGGCAAATATTCTTTAAATATATCCGACAGTATATTTCTGACCTTTTCTCGATGTTTGTACAACGTAGTCTGAGTGCTGTAATGATGTTTTCTGTAGCACATTTTTGAAATGTTCAGACGACATGTCTTGAATGTTCTATGACACATTCTAAAAATGTAAATCTTTGACGTTTGGGAAACGCGATACTCGAATGGCGGTGTAGAAAGGATGGGGAAGACACCAAAGAAGTCAAAAAAAGAATATGACTCCTAGCCACAATGACCCGACCCCGAGTCGAACGGGGGCCATCCGCCTAAGATTATACAAAGCCCAACGTTAACAGATGCACACCGCGTGCTAACGGGTCGTTGCCTACCCTTACCGTTCTAGTTAAATGAGTGTGTGTTCTGGGGACTTGCAGGCGGTAAGTTCGATCTTTTGCACGTCTTGTGGAAAGAGTCTAGATGGATGGAGAACTACACAATCATGGTTGTGTAATACATCCATTGAGAGTGACAAAGACTCGAACCCCCCAAAAAAAGTCGAGACACCAAAGAAATCAAAAACGACCAAATCTATGGATAATGGCCCGATCCCGAGTCGAACGGGGGTTTTCTGCTTGCAAGTTCATTCTATCCCGATAAGACTCGGCAGATGCACACCGCGTGCCATCGGGTCTCTTGTGCATCTTTATACCCTCAAATAACTGAGTGCTTTTTTGAGAAGTTCCAAAAGTTCTTTGAAGAAAGTTTATAGACTGGTGGGAGAACGAATGGCGAAGAGTAAATCAGATTTGGAAGGGAATCGGACAAAAAATGATGAGTAACAAAAGAAACCGGAACGACAAGCTATACAACCCGACCCCGAGTCGAATGGGGGTTTTCCGCTTAACGAAGATATTTGCAACTGGGACGAATTCAGTAGATGCTGCAGATGCACGCCGCGTGCCATCGGGTCTTTTAATTACTGCCGTAGCGTTCGTTGAATGGGGTGTCATTTAGGTTCGATTGAAGCGTTGTGGTTGGTGCGGCAGCTTCTTCTTTGCTTTGTAGTTATTAGGCTCGGATGTCCTTAGCTTAGTCATACATTGGGTTTTCTCCGCTTCCTCCCATCCCGCTGCGAGCCCCGTTGGCTCATCTCCGACCCAGAGACCCCCGGAGGTCTCCAGCGTCAACATGAGAGTGTTGAGAAGTCGAATTTCAAAATAAAGCGGGAGCTTGTATGGCTCTGGTTAGATGTTTCTATTGAAACAGACCAGAATCTTATTCGGAGGCCGCAGGGCTGTTTAGCATACCCCCAAAAAAAGAAACAAGGCAAAAATAGGAAATTCGGAATACGCTGCGGTCAACTATGACCTGACCCCGAATCGAACGAGGGTCTTCTGCTGAGCATTTCAAAGTAAGAGTGAATATTTTGCAGATGCACTCGACAATGTGCTACCAGGTCTTTTCTACTCCCTTGGAAACTTGAATAAATCCTCACCTCTCAAAACTTCCCTAATCAGTGATCTAATCTAATCAGCAGATCACCGCGTCAGCGTCACGTCCGCGTCACATCACAGAACAGCTTCTCCTTCTTCTCCATTCTCATCTTCCGCTTGCTCTAGCATTCCTCAAGCATGGCGTCCTCCACAGCGAGCGCGCCAGGGGACGTGCTCTCCAACATCTTCAATGGACTCAAGAACAAGAACCCCGACGTCCGCCTGCAGAGCGCGATCGAGCTGCGTCGCTATGTCGCTCGCAGCGGTGCAGATATGGCGGGCGGCGGGGAGGACAACGACAATGTCAGCAGGAGGCTGTTTGAGCTGATTCACTCGCAGAATAGCACGGATAATATTGGCGGATTGGTGGCTATCGGTGCGTGTCCTTGTCTCGTTGGCATTGAATGGATATTGACTGTATTTTGTGTATGCAGACCACTTAATCGACCCCTCGGATTCATCCTCCATAACCCTCGACTCTTCACACAACCTCTACCGCTTCTACAACTACGTCAAGCACCTCCTGCCCTCCCCAGACCCCGCCCTCATCCTGGCCGCCTCAAAGACCCTCGGCCACATCCTCTCTGTCGGCGGCCCCGCCTTCGGCGAGTCTTTCATGGAGCCCCAAGTTCAAACCGCCATCGCCCTCACCTCCCCCGCTTCGCACTCCTCCTCCTCCTCGTCCTCGGCCTCGGAGGCACTGGGGATGGCGCGCTACGCCGGGACGCTAATTCTGAAGGAGCTGGCGCTCAACATGCCGGGCCAGTTCGTGGGGCATCTGAAGGAGGTCTTGGACGGGGCGGTCGTGGGCCCGTTGAGGGATCCGCGGTTGGTGGTGCGGGAGGCGGCGGCGGAGTTGTTGGCGGCGTGTTTGGAGATTGGCGCGCAGAGGGAGAAGGGCGCGAGTTATGCTGCGAGTGCCGCGGCGCATGCGAATGCGGGCGCCGGTGCGGGCCATGGGCATGCAGGCGCTGGGAGCGGACAGGGCGGTGGACACGGTACCGGCCCTGGGAGCGTCGGCAGCGCACACACCCACCCCCATCCGTCCTACCTAAGCAAGATCCTCCAAGACGCGCAGGCGGGGCTCAAGTTCTCGCAGCCCGAGGTCATACACGGGAGTTTGTTGACTTTTAGGGAGTTGTTGTTGCATGCGGGGGTGGTGCGTGTTTCTCTTTCTTTCTCTTTTTTACTTAATGTTCGCTGACGCGAGCGCTCGCAAACAGTTCATGCGCGACACCTACCCCGAGACCGCCGAGTCCGTCCTCGCCCTCCGCGCGCACCGCGACCCCGCCGTGCGCCGCATGGTTGTAGCGATGTTGCCTACCCTTGCGAGGTGCGTTCCTCTTTAACTT